CACGAGGGCGATCTCGGGTACTCTCGGGCGCCTGCCACACTGCCCCGACCACCTCATGAGGTTGCACGGGTTATCTTGGGCAATCTCGGCACTCTCGGGAGCCTGCCGCGCTGAGACGGACGAGAAGGCAGTCAGAGACGGAAGTGAGACGGAAGTGAGACGGAGTGATGGATCTATTGAGACACCGCTGAGACGCTGAGAGTGAGACAGGGACGAATTCACGTGAGACTGAGACGACTCACCAAAATTTCCCAAATTCGAGGAACCACGCGATGAATTTTCTTTTGCACCTGTTTTTCTTCTTCTTGTTGGGGTCCCCGCGGGCATGTTGCCCGTGGCTCTGTGCAGCTTCTCGCTGCTGCTACCCCTGACACCGCCACCGCAACGCGGCGTGCGGAGCGCGGCGCCTCGTCTGCTGGCCGGCGGCAGCGGCGAAAATAGCGACGACGGCAGTGGCGGCGGCAGCGGCGGCGAGGGTGGCGAGAGCGGCGGAGACGGTTGGGACATGTCGCTGCTGCAGCAGAGGATGCAGCAGCAGCAGATGGAGGAGATGATGACCGCCGCCTCCAACTGGCGCACCGGCACGTGCGAGCAGAAGACGCTGCTGGTGCTCGACGACTGGGTGCGCCGGCTGCAGTGCGAGAATGGGCTGGTCGCTTGCGGTACCCACAGCGGCACGGTGATCCTCGCGGACGTCGCCTCTGGCGAGGTGCTCCGGCAGTGGGACCCGCTCCTAAACGAGGAGGAGGAGGAGGAGGAGGAGGAGGAGGCGGCGGCGGCGGCGGCAGAGGCGGCGGCAGACGTGGAGGAGGAGGAGGAGGAGGAGGAGGAGGAGGAGGAGGAGGAGGAGGAGCTGGGGGTGGTGTACGAGGAGGAGGCGGAGGCGGACGACGGCGACGGCACCAGCGAGGTGACCGCGCTCGCATTCGACGGCGACCACGTGGCGTCTGGACACGCGTGCGGCGCCGTCTTCCTGCGCAACACGAGCGGACCCTCCAGGAAGCTTCTAGGAAGCTTCTAGGAGCCTTCTAGGCGCCGTCTTCCTGCGCAACACGAGCCGGACGCTGATGCGAGCGAGCCACGAGGGCGTGGTCACGGGTGTGCACTGGGAGGGCGGCGCGACGGCCTTCTCCGCGTCGGCAGACCGAAGGCTCGAGATAGATAGATAGGAAGGCGAAACACAGTCCGACCAACGGCTGGACACCAACGCGGTATGGGTGGACGCGAGACGGGCGTTGACGGCCACACAGGAGCGACACACAGAACCACAAGACAAGACACTCAGCCAACGGGGCGGCTGCCACACATCCTGAGCGAACTTCCCTAGTCGGCACACACATCCTGAATGCCGTGGGGCTCCTGTCGTCAGACGTGGATACGCGAGGGTTGCCCCCCCCTTGCCCCACCACCTCGTGTGTGTGGAGAAGTTTACCTTACCTTACCTTACCTTAGGCTCGCCGAGTGGGACGTACGCACAGGCGCGCGAGTCGCGCATATCTCCCCATATCTCGCGCATATCTCCCCATATCTCGCGCACATCTCCCCATAGGCGCGCGAGTCGCGGCGCTGCAGGCAACGCGCCCTAGAAGCTGACATCTCTCGCCATCTCTCCCCCCATCTCTCCCCATATCTCGCGCCCTAGAAGCGGAGTACGTGTTCATGTCTCCCAACTAGCGCCCGAGAGGACACGCATTCCGCCGTATTCGGCCGTACTCCGCTGTGTTCGCTGTCCTCTTCTCCGTTGGATTCCGGCGGTGCTCTGAAGACGCTGCACAGTACCGTATTCGTGCCCTGAGGGCGCGTTTTCTGCTTCTAGGCAAAGCGACCCATATCTCCCCATCTCTCCCCATATCTCCCCATATCTGCTTCTAGGCAAAGCGACCCATATCTCCCCATATCTCCCCATATCTGCTTCTAGGCAAAGCGACCCATATCTCCCCATCTCTCCCCATATCTCCCCATATCTCCCCATATCTCCCCATATCTCCCCATATCTCCCCATATCTGCTTCTAGGCAAAGCGACCCCTTCTCGCGGATCTGGGAGTACCCGAGATCACCCGAGATCACCCGAGATCACCCGAGATCACCCGAGATCACCCGAGATCACCCGAGATCACCCGAGATCACCCGAGATTACCCGAGATCACCCGAGATTACCCGCTGCAGGCAAAGCGCCCCATCCTCTGCATGGATGTCTGCGAGGGCTATGCCGCCCTCGGCCTCGACGACGGATCGGTCCGCGCCTGCTCACGTCTCCCCCACGCCTCCCCACACCTCCCCCACACCTCCCCCACACCTCCCCCACACCTCCCCCCCACCTCCCCCACACCACCCCCACACCTCCCCCGCATCTCCCCCACATCTCCCCCACATCTCCCCCACACCTCCCCCACACCTCCCCCACACCTCCCCCACACCACCCCCACACCTCCCCCGCATCTCCCCCACATCTCCCCCACATCTCCCACACCTCCCCCACATCTCCCGGTGATCTCCTCAGGTCTGCGTCTGCTCTCTCTCGCCGCTCCGGCTGCTCTTCTCCTTCAAGGCTAGGGGTATAACGGGTACAAGGGGGTATAAGGGGGTATAAGGGGGTATAAGGGGGTCTTGTTCTTCTCGTTCGAGGCGCACGACTCGCCGGTCTACGGGGGGGATAAGAGGGTAGAGGGGGATATAAGGGGGTACTGCTCTTCTCATAAGGG